AAATAATGTTAAAAAGTCAGTATCTCGATAATTTTTAGAAGTAGGCTGTGCCTGCAAATATTTTTGAAATTGAAAGCAGAATCAGGTTAAACGTCAATTAGTTGACAGTTAGTTTGGTTGTCTGTTGAAACCTGAAACGTTTTTTTGCAATTGTGAATGCACGAAATTTAGTTTCTTTTACCTGTTTTTTTTTGTAAGTTTTATAAAAATCAACATATTTGGTCGTATGAAAATCCGCATGAAGTTCGGGAAAGAAATTTTCAGCATGAATTTAGTGTGAACATGTGGATTGGTATCTACGGTAATCGACTATTTGGACCCTACCTTTTGCCTGCAAGGTTAAATGCTGCGACCTTCTTGGAATTTTTAAAGGCTGAACATGCAAATATGTGGGATGAGCATTTTAGTTGTAAATAAATAATTTAATTTGTTAAAAATAATATTGGAAAATTAATATTCTGTTTTTTTGTGTTTATTTGGAGTTAGGAATTATTGCTGTGTTTAAAAACACAATCTAAACGATCATCTTAATTACTTGTAATGCCCAAATCGAAAATGTAAAAAAAAATATTGTTTTCCCATAAATAATTAAAAATGCATCGAACCTTAAAAATCGAAATATCTCAAAAACGGCTAACTATAACGAAAATTCACAAGAGAGCTTTTTTATGTTGAAAAGGGCGAAGAATCAGCTTTTTTATTCAAAAAGCAAAAAATTGCACTAAGAAAAATTTTTCGGTCATTTTAATACACTACAGGTACAGTAGAGAGCGCCCTCTAGCGGCTACAGTAAAACTATGCCCATGGTTCATTTTGTCGTAGCAAAAAACCCTTGTATACCAATTTTCACTGTTATACATCAAATATTGTTCGAAATATTTAAAAAAAACTATTTTAGAAAGTAAATTTAAACACCCTGTATTTCGGAAGCCACGCATTTTTCGACCCATGTTTATATAGACTTTATGCATTAATTTTAAAAGTTCTATAGAATCTTAAAGTTATGCAACAATAAACTGAAACACCCTGTATAATATTATGTGGATATTCCACTTTTATGAAAGAATTGAGCAGGTGATTACTTTTTTCTTATAACTTTCCCTCTTAAAAAAAACCTTTGCTTTTCTTGAAAGCTCAATTTGCGGCAAAATGTGGTTTCAAGCCATCATATTAAAAGTAATCAACAGCTCAATTCTGCTATAAAAGTGGAATTTTGACATACAGTTTCAGATCTGTACTAATATTTGTTAATCACGAAAAAATTTTAAAAAAAATGCATTTTTTGACAAAAAAATGCATTTTTTGACAAAAAAATTCATACTACTGCTCCAAGCAAGCAGTTGAAAAAAGGGACATGTGACTTTAAGGCTTCCTAGTTTATGTTCCATAACTCATCTGTTTAAAATACCAACGAAAAATGTCGGCACAGATTTTTTATAGTAACGTGAATTTTGTTACATAGACGTTTATTTAGTTTTGAATCTGGTTTTTATCTCAAACTGATACTCCAAACATAACGTCATAAAACTAAAAAGTACAAAATGCACCTTATGCCTTTTTTAACTGAGGTTACAATTTCCTACTATCAACTATCAACCTATCCGCCGGGAGCGAAGTGCATAGTGTGGGGAATTTAATAGATCGCCGTGCACGCTTTAGACCAATATATGATAGTGAAGCGTAGGCGTGGACTCTGTGGTGAAATCTGAATCAGGACTTGACAAAGATGCAAACATTCAACAAGCTTATCAGATCAAAAGAGAAGTGGCAGTTTGAAATTCAAATTGTTCCTTATCTCAAATCGACCAAATGTCTGTTGTTATCATTGGCTTCCTCATGCACAAATATTTGAGTCCGGAATCGATAGATGGCGCTATCATCACGCACCCGTAGATCGTGAAACTACTAGCAAACTGTAAATCCAAAGATTTAATTTTATTTCTTAGATTGCTTGCTGTCATACAGACAATGATCTTTCCTAACTAAAATGTTTCTTTTTAGTTTTTTCTACATTTATAGGTTTTTAAGATTTATGCTTATCTATTGTTGTAATTATAATGTACTTCTGGTAGGTAACGAAAAGCGGCGCTTAAGCTGATTTCTCGCAAGGATAAATAAAGGCAATAATTATTATTAATAATAAATACCCAACCCAGCAGCGCTCTCCATACTCTTCATGCTCACAGAATCAGAAATCTCAAGAGAAATTACTATAGCATGTCGTACTCTAAAATCTTATCAAAATTAGAGCACGTTACAGAAATTATATAGGTTAGAAGCCCTACGAAAATGAGTGATATGAATTCCGTAATACAATCATGACCTAACATCTATTTTCATCGCTCATGCGTGCCAAAAAGCAAATAAAATAAACGGCACCGTTTACAGTGAAGATCAAAGTTCTCCCTCCCTTCATCATCGAGACAATCGATCAAAGAGCCCCTCCGACAATGAACGCTGTGAAGTGCCGAGCAAAAACAAAACACTGTTCATGAATCATGGACCAGTCAGCAGTACATGATGGCAGAAACACGCTGCACTCGACGAGTTGCACTTCATAAGATAAATGTATCCACTCTATTTTATCCGAATTTCCATTTCATTTGAGCACCCGTCAATTTTTT